TTGAGCATTGTCTATTGATATTACCCTTATTTATAGCTATATGTGAGATTTGACTTCCTGGGCTCACATATGGTATGTATCTGGTTTTGTTCTTAAAACTGGGTGCTATAAAGTGGTATCAAAGCAATGCTGACTATAGGACGCAAGCCTAGATAGAACTGAACGTTCTAGTTTGCTTTCATCTCTGCTTAGTTCTTGTTTCCTCTCCAACCTTGTTATTTTCTAAAAATTATGCTCACTTCAGCCTCTGTTCTATTATGAAAACCTTGTCTTTATTCTCAATCCTCTCTCTTCCTCTATATAGATGGATCATAATGAGGAGACCACCAGCATCAGAGATCAGGAGGACCAAGCTATATTGTCTTTGACTGCATTTGATAAGGAGAAGCTTGTAGCTATGCAACAACAAGTACTTGAAGGAATGACTCAACATGGGAGTTCCCAATAGTACTTGCCATCAGGTCAAACCAACACCCCAAAGGGACCAGTGAAGAGACAAGTGGCAGAAGCATGGAAGAAGATGAGGTCCAATGAAGATGTTGGTAGTAAGACGCTTGGTAGTTAGGACCAATGTCAATGCTGCAGGCATTATGGTTTTCTCTGTCTTTAGAACAAGTCTAATAAGAGGGAAGTTAAGGTGAACATGAGTTGTGCAGCTAATGTAGACAAGAAGAGGAAGGCGGTCTCACTAGAGCCAGAATTGGGAAGCAATCAACATTCGAGTTCTGCTACATTGTCACATCCAGCTCCAATCCCTAGTCAAATAAACTCAGACTCTAAAGAGTCAAAAGTTTCCCAAGCTAAGATTAGTCCACTCTTTCCACATGAGGTATGCATAGATGGGTGGACGATCACCTATAAGGAGTTTCAACCCCGAAGGATCAAGCGAGCTAAAAAGCAGTCCAGTCAAACAAAGATGAACCTTCAGAGTCAGCAAGCTGACAACACACTAAGCAACAATTTTGTGGAGTATGACATCACAAAGGATCCAGCTAAGAGAAAGTGTTATCATTGCCAGCAGAAAGGACATTATGTTAAACTTTGCCCACAAAAGAATCAACAATTGTACCATGGAAGTGGCCAGACTCGAATCACTGCAAGGTTGCTACCAGAAAGTGTCAGTGATACCCAACCCAAAGAAGCATTCGATGAGGGTGACGAATCAAGAAGTCATGCTAGACTACCCAAGATCCTTAGTTAAGGAATAGGAGTTTGTGCCCTTTTTGTAATAAAAACGATAGTATCATAAGTTGAGTCAATGATTGAGTTGTGCATCTTTACTGCTTTGTTGAATTGTCATTATGCTTATGATTGTTTTGCATCTTTGTAATGACTGCAATGATCTTGTTTGGTGTTCCCACAATTTCATTTAGCTTATAGGCCTAAGGTATAAGGATTAATGAAATAAATAGTTGGGTTAAGATTTTCTTCTGTTCTCCCTATCCTGCCTTTTGGAGTAATCTGCCCTCTTTGTCTTATATCTCTGATTTCGGACAATAAAAAATCATGAGAAAATTTTGGACAATAGTATATTTCGATATCTTTATGTGACCAAAAGAATCACCTTGATAGCTATTTTGGTTATGGAGTTTTGAAAATCACAAAATGATGCAACCGCGCTGTCCAAAATCAGGAGTAGTTTCTGTTGTGCACTGTTTTCGACTGCCTGAACTGTAGAACTTGGAAAAGTGTTCTATAAGGAAGTTGTGGAGAAATTGATAATGTTTCTAACGGTATAAGCTACAACTTCATTATATTAATAGAATGAGAGTTACATCTATTTTACTGCGCATTTTTTTTCTGCTCGCGAGGAATTTCAGATTTCTTATTCTTGCCCATACACAAGAGTCTCATTGGGATGTAAGAACATCTTGATATTGGTTAGTTCATCTAGAAGAAGGTGCAAGCTACCATTCTTGTGTCCCCTAGTTGATCTTTTCTTAAGGGGGGTAGCCAAAGTGAAGGTGGTTTTAAAAATTCTAGCTCTCACTTGGAAGAATCGGTGAATCTGATAAGAAAGGTGGTACCCAAAGATGTGAGAGAAAACTCAGAGTTTCAATGAGGTTTGGTTAGAGGTTCAAGGAAGGTTTATCCAAGACCATCAAGATATTGATAGTATTACTGGAGAAGGTTTAAGTTCGTTTGGATCAAAAGACCTCAGCTAAGTGTTTGAAGGAGTCTAAGAAGAGGTTGAAGTAAAATCTAAGTATTAGCTTTGTCAGTTCCGGACAAGAGCTTTATATCCATTAGGATGCACTCTGTCAAGGTGTGGGATGTGTCCTTATACAAGAAGAAAAGGAGTGGCTTGTTCATTAAGTCAACTAAGAAAGTGTGAGTTGAACTACCTAACATGTTATCTGGAGTTATCCATTGTGAAGCATGGAAGTATTGTCTTTTTGGAAGTAAAAGTGACATCTAGGAGGATCACCAGAATCTACAGGACATCTTCACTAATTTGGTCTTGAGCTTGTGTTGTCCTTGTTGGAATGAAATTGATTATGACTTGAAAAAGTGCTATGACTTGTAGAAGCAAAGTCATGGCCGCTGCCCTTAGCAACAAAGAATTGTGCTAAGAAGGTTCAGGTGACACCAAGAACTAAGAATTGTATTCCAAGTTCGAGCAACTTGACCGGAATCATTAATGTTTTGAAGATCGGTGGTAGATTCTCTATCTGATCAAGAAAGTGAAAAGGCTCTTAGAATCAGTTTGGCAAGTTACTTGGAGTAAGGTCAACATGTATGCAAAGTAAAGTGGGATCTTTATCAAGACGATGGAACTGTGCGAGGAAGTAAAGAAGAATCTAAAGACGAAGTATCCCTATCTCCAAGTCGACGTTTTTCGAATCTCAGGGACGAGATTCATCTTAAGGGGGTAGAATTGTAACACCCTAAAATTTGCTCTTTTCAAAAAAGGTATAAATTGATTTAATTTTGTATTTTGTGCTCATGAAATATAGGAAAAAGAATATTTTTCATTATATTAAAACTCATCATAAGGTAGCAACATGGATGTGCATATATGCTGGTGCATTTGATTTATTTGGTTGCGTGGTTATGATTAAAATTCAAAATGGTTTGAATTGCTTTTGGAAAGAAATTAAAAATGGCTTTGAAGTAAAAGAAAAGAAAGCAAAGAAAATTTGAAAATAAAAGAATTTTTAAAAAATTGTAAAATTCATTTTTGGAAAACTTCCTAGATTGCTCGTTTTTGTTTGAATTGAAAAGTGTATTTGAAATCCTATTCAAGTTTGATTTGGTTCATATTTGAATGTGGTTTTGAAATGGGAAAAGAAATTAGAAAAGGAATTCTTTATTTTTTTCCTTTCCCTACCGGGCATTTGGCCGCTCGGCAGCTTCCGCTCCCAACGGCCCATCTCGGTCTCTCTCTCTTGCGTAGGCCGGCTCCGCTCTTCCTCATTTTCCCACGGCCCAGCTGGCCGGCAAACACCGCGCCGTGCCTCTTTCCCCTCTCTCCCACTGACTGACTGGCCCCACGCCCTGTGTTGCTGCCACCCGGGCCCCATGTGTCAGTGTCGTCTCCTTCTTCCTCCCGCTCATGCCCGAGTCGGGCACCGCCGCCGGTGAGTCCGCGCCCGCGCCATGTCCTTCCTTGCCTTGCGCACCATGTCCTTCCTTGCCTTGCGCACCACGATGCTTCCCGCCCATAAATAGTAGCCCCACCGTGCCGCCTCCCCTCAAGTTGCCAAAGCCGCTTCGCCTCGAGCTCGCAGCGCCGCCGCTGAGCTGAACCCTAGCGCTGCCGTTGCCATTGCCCGGTGGAGCCGCACGCCGCCACAGACCCGCTCTCGTCCACGTGAAGCACCTAGGTGAGCTCGCAGTTTTCTCCTTTACCTTCCCAAGTCTTCCGTTGGAGCAACCGATCCCAGAGTCACCATTCCGACGAGGAGCCGAGACCCCGGCCATGGCGCCGCCGCCTAGAAGCAGCACACCGGTGACCTCATCTTCCCCTTTCGCTCACGGCCATCCGGATCTGATCCAACGGCCCAAAATCCCCGATACCCCTTCGCGTGGCTTAATTGCATAAGAGCCCCTCGGGTTTTTAATATAGAACCCGCCGTCCCTGCACTTATTCTAAAGAGTCCCTGCCCTTCTTCTTATTTCTACCCGCAGTCCCTCCGTCGTTTTAAAATCAGAATTTGATTTATTTTATTTCAAAAATCAAGTTCCACCTATTTACAGTTTTGCCATTATCTTCTGTAGGCCATATCTTCTCTGTTTTAACTCCGAATTGACCCGTTCAAGTTGCGTTAGATTCGTAACGACATAATCTATGCATTAGATTCGTAGTTGAGCTTTGGGCTCAACTTCAAATAAACTTACCAAAGGTCAATTAGATGATCTCACAATAATGATGGTATGCTCTTCCATATACTACTTGTTCATAAGAGTACCTGAATTAATATTCAGTAATTGAGCAGTGAATGCTAGAATTGCTGAATGCTGATGTACATAATACTGCTAAAAAAATTCAGCAAATGGGTTGTCATATAGTTGCTGAAACTATTTATGCACTGTGAGAAACTATATTACTCTGTATAGATAACTTTTTTTCCCGAATTAGCATAAATATTGCTAAATCAACAGGAATTCTGTCAGTTACCACCAATTTCCTGGCATACTGAATTTGCTGCAACTAACTGGAGATATATTCCATCACCCTGTTGCTATAGCTGGATTATATATATATATCAAAATTACTTCAGAAAAGTTCACTGACTGACTGAAAACTGATTTGTAATCCTGTGATGCAGAAGTTGACAATAAACTTATCATGTATAACAAAGCATTCACTGCTGATATGATGAATAACTTTGTGGTCTGTCTTCAAAGCGATACTTCTAAAATTATAATATGTTATAGTTTGATCATTGGATACTGAAATTGTTTTCTTGTTTCTATTTTTGTGTCAATGGCAATGCATCTGCAACCAACAGGAGACCCTTCGAGTTAAAGACGATGAACTCCACCAATTGTTGCAGGATATTCGTGCACGCGATTCTACCATCAATGAGATTGCGGATAAATTACGGGAGACTGCAGAAGCAGCTGAAACTGCTGCTTCTGCGGCACGTTCAATTGATGAAGAGAGAAGGTTTTTTACGTCAGAACTTGAACGTCTGAAACAAGACCATGAGAAACAAGTTGAAGCATCTTTGCTTAGGGTAACCATCGAATGCAATACACATAACTTCTAACGCTTATTAGTTGTTACAGAATTATAAATTAGATACAGACCACCATGAACATGCTTCATGTCAATGAAAAATTTGAAGTTGTCATTATTTGTGTTTCAGTTAAGGGAATCGGAGGAGAAAGCAAAGCTTCTTGTTGAAGAGAGAGATCGTTTGCTTACAGAGAGAGATTCTGCTCTTCAAGAAGTTCAGATGTGGCGCTCGGAACTTGGAAAAGCTAGAGGAAATGCTGTAATTCTAGAAGCAGCTGTTGTCAGAGCTGAAGAGAAAGCTAGGGTCTCAGCAGCAGATGCTGACGTCCGGATAAAAGAAGCCATGAGCCGACTTGAGTCTGCCATCAAAGAAAAGGAGGATCTCCTAGCCCTTGTGGATGCTCTACAATCTCAAATACAAAGGTTTGGCGTCCATAATTATTTGATTTTCTTTTGTTTTCATCCAGTTGGAAGTTTCTCAAAACTAGATTCTTTTAGAGCCAGCTTAATGGTAGATTATATATGTTTTTTCAGCAGGCAAGAGACTAGCACAAGACAGGTTTGTGAAGAGAGCTCGGAGCTCTGCTCTACTGCTTCAAAGCACATGGAAGATGATAATGTTGATAAAGCTTGCGTAAGTGATACAGATCTAATACCGGTTACAGAGAACATTGTTGAGTTGGATGACGAGGTTGTCGATATCCCTACAGTGGGGGACACTGAGTGGGATAATCCCCATTCTTCTGAAGTGTCTGATGTAAGGGAAGTAACCACAGAACCCGAAGAAAACAGCTTGGACATTCCTGTATGTCGATACTCGATGTCCAACCTTTTTGTGAGAATTGCTTAGAAGGCTTAGGTCGTCTGTGGCCATTCTTGTTCACCGTGATGAGTTAGTTGTATTAATAGATTCTTATTTTAGTTCATTATTACATTCTTGTTCAAGTTTCAGCATGAGCTTCTGAACTTGAATCCCTTTAAAAGTGTGCTCTGTCTCTGCTGAAATAAAATAGCACAACTGTGTTGAGCGTGTGAGTGTGTACCTGAACTTTCATGTTTAGAAGTTCAATCTTTGGCCTTTTTTTTTTCATTCAGGAAATTCTTGTTGTATCCTGCAAACTGAGCGTCTGAGCCAGTAAATTTGCACTGATTCTTTCTATTTATGAACAATATAAAGAAGTAAATTTGACATTTCTTGCCTTTCATTTGAGATGTATATACGTATAATATAGCTGCTGGAAAGATAAAGCAACGCTTGCCGCAATAATGTGGTCACCAAGAAAATGGTACGTGCTAAGCCATTACAGGGATGGAGAAGAAAAGTTCAATTACACGCAGGCAGTTCGAATCTCCATTGGAAGAACAGGTCTTACCAACTTACTGAAGACTGTTGAATTGATCTCATTCCAGAAGAGGCAAAGGCATACTGAAAGTCCCAGTCTTCCAGATTGTGTTTTTGAGTGTCAAAACTGAAAGCACCTTATACCATAATAACGCAGTAGAAATTAGATCTCAAGACAACACATCTGTCATGCACGCACGCGTGTATCTTTTATATTTATTAAAGATATAAGAGGCAGACACATGACCAGAAATCATCAAAATTTTGAAGTCATGGCTATTTGCTGACCAAACACTGCTTTCTTTACTTACCACGGTAAATTCAGGCAGTGACATACTTTTGAGGAAACATCAGCCGTGATGACATGAGGAGCGAGTATTATTATATACCTATGAACGATCCCTAATCTTTTCGCCGTCAAGCTCGGTTAAAAAATGATCTAATTAAGATAAGCAGGTTCATGCAGCCACGCATGAATATGATCGCAATTTACAGGTTCACAACTGAGCTACTAGGATGTTACATTTGTCTTCAGGTCAAAACCCCTACTTGGACCTGCATGTACGTCTGTCGGCCGTAGGCCGTAGCTAGCCACTTATATATATTAGTATTACTGTTTCACCGATTCAGAACACACTGTCAAATATCTGTTCAGTAAGTAGCCTTGAAAATAATATGTGTAAATATTCAGCCATGTATATTATATCCCATCTTGAATTATTATATACTACCTCTACCTCTGTCCACAAAATAATGCAATTCTCGTTTCTCGAGGAGTTAAAGAGTTTGAATTTTGATTAAATTTATATAAAAAGCACAAACATTTATTCTACAAAATAAGTATCATTAGATTAGTTATAAAATATATTTTCATAATAAATTTATTGAGAGATATAAATACTAATACTATTTATTCTATAAACTTCGTTAAACTTGAGCTTATGTGACCGGCATGATGGATCTCATAATTGCATTATAGATGGATGGAGTATACAAACACAGACGATAAGCATGGATAAGCATGACAATAAGCATACGAGACCTATGAACACACTGTCAAATTTGCGTACGCTGGCTGCCATGACAATAAGCATGGATACATGCATAAAATAAAGCATACGAGACTTAGACTTGGATGCATGCATGGATCAGGCATGACGACAATACGTGATTAGCCATGTTGACCATACTCTTAATCAACATTGAAGGTACGTGTAAGACTGGAACAACTTGCTGACGTTTACAAAACTGACAAGGGCAGATCGAGCCCCGTGTCGACCGTGACAGCGTCCAGCAGGCAGCAGAGACCATGTGCAGTCTCCGCATCACAGGCAAATTTTGCTTTCGGACGGAGAAAAAATCTGCTAATATATATGCATCTGCATGCTCCGTTGACTGAAATTCGTGGAAACCCAGGATTTTCTATAGAAGTTTCAATCGGGTTGATTTGTCGCTATATAGCATCGCGAGCTGAACCTCTCGTTTTCATATGGTCTGCAGATGATTTAGACCGTGGCAAGGACTTTGGAGGACACTCTGAGCATATATAAGCTGCAAAGTACTATGAGATCATAGAAATATAAGATCAAACAGACAAAATAATTTTTGACCGTTAATTTGTCTTACTATATATTGTCATTTTGCTAAAGAATTAATATAGCCTCAGAGACACTTTGAATAAAAATTCATTAATATAATTTCATATTCTAAACTTGTTCATAATTTGAATAAATATGGTCGAAATTTATATAAGTTGATTTTTTTTCGGGTTCGAATTATAATTATAATTATATAAGTTGAAATTTATATAATTTGATATTGTGCAGTTGTTTTTTTTACTAAAAATTGTGGAGCAAAAGCTCCCGAACACTTTATTAAGACCAACAGAAGGAAGATCATAGGGAGCTAGCCAAATGCTAACTAGAGACTACTTACCTAGCTAGATAACTATACAAAAGGGTACAAGGCCAAGAAGGGAGATACACAAAATCACAATTGGTTGAGCCAATTCATAATTGAAGGATGAAAATCCATATTGATCTGGTACAAGTACGTGGAGCTTAATTTCGTTTTTGAACATATGCTTCTAGGAGGCCACTGAAGGAATTTTACCATTGAAAATAAGTGCATTTCTTTCATTATGGATGCACCAAGTTGCTATCATGAAGATTTCCATAAAGAATGGGAGTTGTGAAGAGACTTGTTCTGCCGCACAAGCATTTGAAATACACTACCTTGGATTGACCAAAGAATGTTGACCATCTAGTTATACTTGAGGTACACTCAAAGAACATGTGTTGCACAGTTTCTTCAATACCATCCTGGCATATATAGAACAAAATCATAACCTTCCTTAAGATGATTCTTTTGCCTCCTTGATATATTCCTGGTGTTGAGTCTATCATTGAGAAGAAGCCAAGTGAAAAACTTGATCTTGGGAACACAGTTGGACTTCCACAACCATTTAATGGGCGCCGATGGAGATAGAGAAATGAATGTCCTGCATATAACTTGAATGAGGTATATTGAGCACCCCATATATAAACCTAGGAATCATCTTGACTAGTATAGGCACTCTTGGTTGATAAGAACCAACTTAGATATAGAAATGCATTGTAAGCAGCTCTGGACATGGGTAATCTGAAGTGGTCTAGCAAATTCAAGTACTAAAGTCCCCCTTGCAAAGATAGTTTTGCATTCTTGACATATAGTAAAAGATATTTGCAAACTCTGAAGAGATGGGTTGATCCAAGAATCAATCCTCCCATAAACCATTCGTATCACCTTTGCCTAGGGTACAAATGGGCAATGCCTCAAAATAAATTATTCAGTTTCAGCACATCTATGTGGCAGATTCGCCCGAAATAACACACCTTCGGAGGCGCTCGTTTTCCACCAGACACTAAGCACCCCCAAAAGCAAGCTATATCGGATGGTTCCGTCGAGCACACCCCAAGGGAGAACTCGAACAATCCACGTTTTTCCTCCAGGATCCAATAATGAGAACGAGTTTACAATACTTAGTCCATTTCATACATCAAGAGTTCTCAAAAAATATATTATTACAATATCAAGTTCAGAGTGCGGAATTTAAACAACATAATTGAAATAAACTTCTAGCGATAAGATACAAGGATCCGTCTGTGCCCACCAGAAGAATCCTCCACACAATAGTCACTCCTCAAGCTGCACCTGCAACAGGGGTAAATAAACCCTGAGTACACAATGTACTCGCAAGACTTACCCGACTAGTGAGAATAATTTCTGACTCCAAAGGATATGATAAGCTTTATAGTTTGCGGGGTTTCCTTTATGCGAAAAGCCTTACTAGTAGTGAATCCTTATGGATGTTCTTATTAGCAGTCATGATTAGTTCATTTATCTAGCCATTCTATGTAAGCACCTGTTCTACTTTCAAGCAAGAGTTGAGCAATCAGATCCATTTCACCATCTTTCATCTTCTAGTTCTTACTACGGTACTAGATTGTAGACAAGTTGTACCGTATTACACAGCGATTCGAGAATCAATGTAGCCCAGCTAGGTACCCCAAAATATATGCCCCGCTTGTACCCTAGGCACAAGCAGGACTAACCCACCACTCTCCTATCAAGGGGTCTAGGTCCCCGTCCAAACTTAGACTCCAAGCCCCCACTCCTTAGGCCCGGACTCAGTGTGGTGCTTAGACCTCCACCATCCCCTCCTCCAATCAGTTGGTCTAGAAAGACCGAAACCCACGACAAGAGAGCAACGAGCCTTCCCTGCTCCTATAAACAAGTATGTGCTCATGATAATAAGTCTATGACCTGACTAGAATCCAATGCAACGACCGGTCCTTAACCGACACGGATAGGAAAAATAGGGTAACCAAGCTATGCCCCATTGGCCGCGGGACAAAACCTCTTACACCCACTAATACCCATATCATATCCCTGCCCGGTCTCCATTTCCTTTCACCATTTTATCATGAGTGATAATAATAATCACCTATTGTGAGTAACAGCAGGTTACTCATGCTACCGATAGCCTAAGCATAGCAGCTACTCGACCTATGTTAGTAGGACTCCTGGGTAGGTATATCTATGCATGTAGTTTTAATATAAATCCTGTAACGTAAATGCACATCATATATATCCAGTGATCATTCAAAATAAGGGTAATGCACTGGGGCTTGCCTTGGGCAGACGCGGTGTTAGCTCAGTCAGTCAGTGGTGGCTCCGGGACCTCCTCCTGCACGAGGATCTCCTCCTCGATCACCTCCTCGAGCTCGTGGTCTCCGATGGTCATGATCTCCGCCAACTCGTTCTCTACATGCATGCGATGATGATGCAACACTTAGTATTTTAGCAATAGCAGCTCCTAAATTAAGAATACACATGGTAAACTATTAAGCTAGCTCTAATAACTAAAATACTAAGCTAACTATCATCTTCATCAAGTAAAGTGTTGGGTTCAACTAACAAACACCTAGCTTTATAAATAAAAGATATATCTTTATTTCTACTAATGA